AAACTCCAAATCTTTTGGTTTTGAGTTTGGTTTTAGTTGAGACGACATCATACACGTGAAATAAGACAACGATAAATAACTTTAGTTTTAGTAAATAAATCCTTAAAACTTCTAGTTCCACCAGCAGATTATTTCACTTAAAAGACGTTAATATGAAAAATATGAAAATGAAACTGCAACGTTTTCATCAATAGTAAGTTAGGAATTATTTACTATATATTATCTTGCTGAAAAGTTAGTTGTAAGTTAGTTTTATTTCAAGTGTATTCTTTGGAAAGTAGAACAAAAATCCTTGGTAAGAGTTTGAGTTTTTGCAGAAAGAAAGAAAGAAAGAAAGAAAGAAAGAAGAAAGAAAGAAAGAAGAAAGAAAGAAAGAAAGAAAGAAAGAAAGAAAGAAAGAAAGAAAGAAAGAAGAAAGAAAGAAAGAAGAAAGAAAGAAAGAAAGAAAGAAAGAAAGAAAGAAAGAAAGAAAGAAAGAAAGAAAGAGAGAAAGAAAGAAAGAAAGAAAGAAAGAAAGAAAGAAAGAAAGAAAGAAAGAAAGAAAGAAAGAAAGAAAGAAAGGATAAAAAGGTAACTTGTGAGAGGAAGAGTGGTTACAGTCAGGGTGAGGGAGGCGAATTGATGAACAGCAGCGAGGGAGGAGGGACCAGCGCTGCGTTTCCCACACTCGGCCGGTTCCCACACTGGACCCGGATAATCCCGGTCTTAATTGGGGGAGAATTCCAGCGCACATGTTCCCCTGCAAGGGGCGCAGAGCCGCTGACACATCAGCCGGGCCGCCGCACGCTGCGGGGGATGCAAACAGGCCGCCGGCTGTCAGCAGCTTCCTTTGGTGCAGCCACTTAGAGCTGCTGCAGAACAAACCAGTCAGTACAAAACCGAGCAGGCTGCTTCTAGACTCGCTTATTTTTCTAAATCACTTCCAGTTTCATTGCACATTTGTTTTGTCTTGTTTGTCAGATACAGTCAGACACAGGAACCACAGAGTGAAGATGGAAAAAAAGCACATTTCCACCAAAAAATGTGAGAAATTTTGTAGAAAATAACAAGAAAATATTTCAGTTTGAAAAGTAAAAACTTTCCCTGAAACTAATTACAGACATTTTGAGACTAAATTGAAACTTTCTGAGTGAGAAGTCACAAATCTGCTGGAGGAAACAAATTTGTATAAAATTTTCTGAGTTTCAAAACTCAGAAATTTGTGAAATTAGTTTCAGAATTTCAGATTTTTCTCTTGTAAATTTGTAACTTTGAAGGCATCAGTGAAGCTCCACTTCCTGCTTGGCCACGCCTCTCCGTGCCGTTTGGCCCCGCCCACTAGGAGTTAAAAGTAGTTTGGGGGCGGAGCTAAACTTTCAGGAGGTTAGTTGCACTTCAAATGTTTTCCACATGTGAGAAACATTTCTAACTCTGCTATGGGCAGCAGTTTTTATTTTATAATTATGACGAAAAAGAGAAAAAAGGCCAGTTTTTGAAGTGCAAAATGGGTTTATTTTGTTTCTGACTGCTCAACCTTTATGTTCCTCGCGGAGAAGAAACTGATTATCGCCCTGAAAGTGCGATAATGGTGTTGGGGTCCAGCATGTGTGGGATCTGCGATTCCTTTTTTCCAGCCTGAGAGGTCGGCAGCATGAACTCATATTTGGTGGCTGTGTTGTGATAACAGTTTATGAGGATATTTATTACCTTGTTTCGGCGTCTGTGTTTCATAAATCAGGATTAGAAGCGTATTAGAACCGGTCGGGGCCAGGTTCGGCCCGGCTCGGCCCTGATGGATCCTCGCTGTGCTGTGTGGAGGGATTAGGCTCTGGAGGAACAAAGGTTCTGCTCCCTGCTGCTCTTCACTGGTTTAACCCCGCGGCCCGTAAACGTGCTTTTGGACTCGTTCTCCTGCTCACCTTTGACCTCTTCAGGCCACCGTAGGTCCCCTCACACTTCAGAGCTGAATATGGGATTTTCTAGCAGGAGACACAATCACACACAAACCTTTAACTTTTCTCTTGTTTCACATTAAAATCACAAACTACAATAAATTTAGTTGGGATTTAATTTTTGCTTCTTGTTTTTTTTCTATAAAACTCAAAGCTAAGATGTTTTGATACGTAAACTAACAGATTGGTTTCTGTCGGTTCTTTAAAGTTGCTTCAGGAAACTCAACAAATGAGTTTTTTTCATATTGGACAATTGATTTAATTGTACATAGTTGCTGCTGTAGGAAACATTTCTGCATGAAGTATTTCATGAACGTTGTGACTTTCTGCAGGCGAACATTCAGTCCAGTTTTTATTGTTTGTTGAACACAAAAATATGGAAAAAAGTTCAGAAAATCAAATCAAAACCAATCAAGTTTTTATTTTTTTCTCCATTTTTTCTGTGTCAGCCGCAGACATCTGTTGCCATGGCAACCGGCTGACCACAACTCAGCGGACCAGTTAAAGTACAACCGGAGCATCAACACCAAAAAATTCAAACATTTCCCTCACAAACATCCAGTCTGCTACGTTTTTATGTTTTCAGGCTTTTGTTCGTTTTGCCATTATTAATAAATGAATTGTAAGTTAGTTTTACGTTAAATGTTTGATATGTGAAAGAAAAGGGCAGCCAGTGAGCGCCATACTGGTCCCAGTGGCCAAGAACAGGTAAAAACCAAGAGCTGCAGAAACTTAGAGTGGTTTCTGACTCAGAGGGAGATTAGCGGGAAAACATGGGACGGCTGGTTTGGATCGGAACCAGAAACGAGCAGCTGTGGACGGATCTGTGGGAAAGATTGCATGGAGGAACCATGACTGGACGGTTCCAGCTGAATCATTTACACCACAGAGGAGGAAATGAATCTATATATATCAATCTATAATCGGTCAGATGTTCTCAGAAAACTGATGAAAACTCGTTTATTCCCAGTGATGCTCTAGTTGTTGGACAGTCTGTCTTTTTATTTCTGTTTATTGGACAAAACTTTCCAAATTAGTCACTAATTAATCCCACAAAGTTGTTGGGATTTTATGTGACAGATTGAAACAAAGTGGTGAAGCGATTAAAGACCCTCAAACATTTTTCCAAATAAAATCTGGAAAGTGCGGCTTGTGTTGTAAAACTGACACATTAATTCAGGAGAAAGAATCAACAAAATGACAATAATGCAGGAAGTTCAGTCAAATTGTTGCATGATGTTTTAGTGAGGAGCTGCAATCTGAGGCTCTTTGTTTTGGCTCATCAGGCTGCAGCAAGAACTTCGGTCCGGCCGGACACAAACACACACACACACACACCACACACACACACACACAAACACACACACACACACACACACACAGAGGATGTTAAAGGGCCAATAAATGGCTGGGCGTTTCCCTGCCGGCAGCTCCTGGTCCAGGTCGGCCACTTTGTGATGCTTTGTGATGCTTTGTGATGATTTGTGATGCTTTGTGATGCCCAGTGTGCAAACTGCCTGCTGCTGCAGTGCAGATCTTTGCATGCATGGAGCTCAGGTTTTACTGAGTTTAATGCAACATGCGGAAACAGCTGCTGATTTTACTGGAAAGGTTTGGAAAATGTTCTGCAGTCTGAGCTCAGCTTAAACATGTTCATATTAACCTAAACTGTTGTTTGCGGAATTTAAAATATTACAATTATTCCAAAGATTGTTTATTTATTATATTATCCAGCTACAGAGATTGGCGTTTTTGACCCAGTAACTCGATCCTGAAAACGATCCAAGAACGTCATGGAGGTTAATATACAAAACATCTGGATCAGTGGAGGGTCCTGGAGGGTCGGACCGACACACCTGGATCCAATGATGGCTCATTACAGGCCTAAGAAGAACATTGACCTGCTGAAAAGGTCAACAGAGAATAAAACATGCAGGATGCCGGACCTTCAGGGCCCACTTTGGGCCCCAGGTCTGGATTAACGCCAACGGCCTTAAAGTTTTATTAGTCGTTATATACAAGGCACCTGCTGAAACAAGCTAACGTGACTGAGCTAATACAGTTAGCCAGAGCTAATACAGTTAGCATGTGTCTTTAGCAGAAGCTGACGTGAAACCAAGCTAATGAATTCACAAACATGGAGATATCTATTGATCTACTGTTGACTAGAGCTAACGCTGTTAGCTAACTCCTTTAGAAGAAGTTAGCATAATTAGCTAATGTAAAATCAAATAAATTAGGAAGATAAATGGATGTTTAAAGTGAGCAGGAAGCGTCTTTAGGTCTTTTTACCAAACTGTTCTGATATATTTGAGGAAATGTTTCGATCCTGATGCTAACAGTAAACAGCCTGTTAGAAACTGGAGCTCTTTCCAGAAATGTTCTCCTTTCAGGCGCTGCAGCAGTTTATTAGGGCCAACAAAATGAAATGATGAAAATAAAGTTGTAGGACAGCAGGAATAATGTAGAAATGATACGAGACTAATCGTACTATTATGAGAATAAAGTCATAGTTTTACAATTTGCTGGTAATATTATGAGTTTATTCTCATATTTTTGTTTTACTTTTAATTTTTTCTACTTATGGCCTTTATGTTCTGCCGTACATGTTGGCATTTCCAAAAAAAAAACAGCAAATCTGCCCATGTAGCATTGCAGCATAAACATGATTCCATTTGACCTGATAAAAACTAAACATTTTTCACTGTTTTCTGATAAAATGTTAGAAATATCAGGATTCCTGTGGAGTCGGTTCTTCTTGGCGCATGCGGTCAGGATGGGGCGAGCGACTGCGTGGCACTTTCCCCCCCGTCCGCTCCGCCAGCCGCGATTTATTGCTTCCCGAATCCAAAAACAGGAGCCTGAGCACAAGAGGATTCCAACTGCTGTTTTCAGACGACCTTTGACCCCAGCGGCCCTCCGCCCGCCCAGTGCCAAGCGGTCCCTAAATCTCTGGGCGTTTTGTTCTGGGCTTTCAGGAATCTGATTGATCGGTACTTAAAGTGACTTACGGCTGAGAAACGTTTGAGGAAAACTGAGCAGTTCAGTCAAGAATCCGAAACGTTTTTCCTTCTTAGACGATATTTTAATAGCACAAAACAGAACATAAAAATAATCCACAATATTTTTTTGTTTCCTTCTTTATAAAACTTCTTATGAACATATTTACATTCATTCTGATATTAACATAAATTTACATCATAAAAATGGCAGCATAAGCATATCACGGTAATTTGGTGTGAACGTTTGCTGCTTTGTGAAAACATAAAACCTGGAAAACCTTCAAACTTGTTGGGATATAGAACAAAATACAACAATAAAGTGAAAATATTACAAAAAGAAACAAAATGACAATAAAAAAGCAGTTTTCATGAGAGAAAAGCTTGGATAGAATGATACGCCGTTATTTGAAACAACCATTTCATAAGTGATAATTTGATGCTAAAATATGAAATATTTCCTCATTTGTAAAACTGAAACCAAAGTATAATTTCACAAGATGCTTTTCTCATAAAATTACTACTTTATTATCTTATTCCAACTTTATTCGTGTAGAAATTTATTGTTGTAATGAATTTATTTTCCAGAAATATTTACATCCACAAGGAAACAGAGAAAAACGGCAAAACGTTTTTACTCCTCCACACCAGTGAGTGGCGCTAAGCACGCAGTCTGGGACATGAGCTTAGTAGTAAACAAAACAAAAAAATCCAAAGCAACGAGTCAATTTGAACTTTGTCTCACTTTCATTAAAAGTAATAAAACAACCAGTAATCCGCCATTGTTCTTGTCATGTATGATGTGTTTGGGGTCAAAGGTCACTGTAGAACCTGCTAAGAATATTTACGTTTCTGGGGGAACGGATACAGTTAAAAACTTTCTGTTAGCATTTCAAGCTGGTTCCCGAAAACCCCAGCAGGAGTTCAGCCTTCCTGTTTGCTACTGAAAGTCCAGGTCTCTCTACAGACGCAGTACTGAAAACACATTTTCCTTACTCATTAGAGCTAAAGCGGCTAATGCTACGTCCTCTTCACTCAGCATTAGCTTCTACACTGATGAGCAAAACTGGTAGCTGGTTGTGTTCAATGACTGGAAAAATATCGGAGTTTCCAGACGCCAGCCAGTCGACAGCAGATATATTGGTGCATCTCTATAACATTTATATTTGGAGGATTAATACGCGTCGATATTGATTAGATTTATTTCAGCTGGTTTTTTTAAATAACCAGATTTATGGCTATTTTGTCCAATCACCACCTGATTTATTGTGGCAGATTGTTTGCAACAGGAAGTGAATCCATGATGGCAGCATCAGCTGCTCTCATCTGTTCATATATTAAATTCTCGTTGCTCCACTACATAAAGTTGCTTTGTTCCCTCATTTGGTTTTCAGTGCTTGCAGCATTTTCCCTCCTTCCTTTGAGTGCAAATATTCTTCAGCGATTCTTATCGAACCTCTTCGTCTGGCTGGACGATCACAATAGTTATCGATATCAGCCGATATCGATAATTACTGATTTATGTTTTAAATATCTGAAGTAAAGCCTCTCCTGTTTAACTCCGTTCGTTGTGTCTTATTGCTTTAGCAGTTTTCAGGCGGCGGATTTGAACCTGCTGTAAGTCACTCAGCAGCTTGTTGCTAGGCAACCAGAGAGAGTTCAGTGAATATTCTGGGATGTTTTCACAGATGGTGATATTTATCGTTATTGATTCATTGTCCAGTCCTCCCTCCTCGGTTAGAGGACAACACGAGCCGCTGGACGTCTGACATCATCCACCGAAATCATCCCACAGCCGCAACAAACCACTGAGATTTCTTTGTTTTCCTGAGTTTTAAACCAACAACCCTCAGACGACGCGCTTGAGAAAATAGTCCAAAGCTAAAATTCTTTTGTTCAAGTCCAGGAAGTCATGCTGAGGATTCACTTCAAACCTGGCTGCAGCAGCCTGGCGGTGCCTGCCTGGCGGTGCCTGCCTGGCGGTGCCTGCCTGGCGGGGGCTGCCTGGCTGCAGCAGCCTGGCGGGGGCGGCGGCTGCTTGGCGTTCAGCGCCACGGTTTCATCCGAGCATCTCAGTCTACAGGAAGTTCACAGGGGATCTGCTGGGCGGCTTTGGCCAGAGAGTAAGTCCTCTGGAAGTCCTTGTAGCGCGGCGCGCAGCCCAGCCAGGCCTCGCCGAAGTGCACTCTGCCGGTGAAGAGGAAGCTGCCGGGTCCTGGCCGGACGCCGCACTGCAGCAGCGTCCGCACCTCGCCGCGGCTCGCCAGCCGACCGCTCCCCGTGAACAGCGTGTACTTCTGACGGAAAACCCGGGTGGCGCTGACCTTGATCACGGCGGCGCGCAGCGTTTCGTCCTCCTCCACCGACCGGATGTTCCCTCGAACGACTGCAGAGAAACAGGAAGTTCATTTCATGTGCAGTGCAGGAAACGGCATTTCAATAAAATAACGCAAACAACTTCCTGCTGGTTCTGGGTGTTCTCACTCCTGATACGAACCAAAATTACAAGATTGGTCACATTCGGAGCTGCTGCGGTTTTCTTTCACCTCACTGTCAAAAAAAACACAGCCTCCTGGCCTGTGGGGGGCGCTGCACCAAGACCCACTGAAGAAAACAACATGAAAACCTTCCTTCTTCACAAAATGTAAACAAAAACAAAGTGGCTCACATTTTAGCAGCTGGAGGAGTTCTGTTGCTAGCACAAGACTAGTGCGTTTGCTTTGGTTGTATTTACCCAGAATGCCCTGAGCTGTAGTCCACTTCCTGATCTTAGAGCGGCCTCCGGTCCGCTTGGCATTCACATATGCATTCGGACCGAACCAGAGTTCACTTTAACTGAATCCAGACTGAAGTTTGTAGGCTGGCAGCAGATGAACTCTTGGACTCTAAATGTGTTCACCGCTCTGCTTCAATCAGGAGGATAATTAGCGCTGCGCTGCCTCCAACCCCAATTTCCTGTATAAATAATAATTGGCTTCTGTTTGGAAAATTTGCCCAAAGCAAATATTCATAAAACAGATTTTGCTAAAAGTCCAGGGTATCTTTCCTGCTTCACATGTTATAAACAAACGTAACCTAAAATCAGCTTCTAAAATGCCGAACTGCCCCTTTAAGCTCCAGGAGTTTAATTCCCGTCAACTTACCAAAGTCGCTGGTGCAAACCGCCATCAGGATCTCGGTATCGTTGCACGGCCGGCAGGCATCTGAGGAGACAACAAGCAGCCGGAGTCAGTCGACAAGTTCAAACCGCCAACGTGAAATAAACACCTAGATGCAAATCAGAGCCGACAGGAAGGAGACAAACGGGCTGGAGCTCAAAGCAAAACAACAAAAACAGAGGAAACGAAGCGCCGCCATAAAACTGACTGCTGCTGCAGAGGAGGAGGAACCAGAGGAGGAACCAGAGGAGAAACCAGAGGAGGAACCAGAGGAGGAACCAGAGGAGGAGGAACCAGAGGAGGAACCAGAGGAGGAACCAGAGGAGAAACCAGAGGAGAAACCAGAGGAGGAACCAGAGGAGAACCAGAGGAGGAACCAGAGGAGGAAACCAGAGGAGGAACCAGAGGAGGAACCAGAGGAGAAACCAGAGGAGGAACCAGAGGAGAAACCAGAGGAGGAAGAACCAGAGGAGGAACCAGAGGAGAAACCAGAGGAGGAACCAGAGGAGGAACCAGAGGAGGAACCAGAGGAGAAACCAGAGGAGGAACCAGAGGAGGAACCAGAGGAGGAGGAACCAGAGGAGGAACCAGAGGAGAAACCAGAGGAGGAACCAGAGGAGGAACCAGAGGAACCAGAGGAGGAGGAACCAGAGGAGGAACCAGAGGAACCAGAGGAGGAGGAACCAGAGGAGAAACCAGAGGAGGAACCAGAGGAGGAACCAGAGGAGGAGGAACCAGAGGAGAAACCAGAGGAGGAACCAGAGGAGAAACCAGAGGAGGAACCAGAGGAGGAACCAGAGGAGGAACCAGAGGAGGAGGAACCAGAGGAGGAACCAGAGGAGGAACCAGAGGAGAAACCAGAGGAGGAACCAGAGGAACCAGAGGAGGAGGAACCAGAGGAACCAGAGGAGAAACCAGAGGAGAAACCAGAGGAGAAACCAGAGGAGGAACCAGAGGAGGAACCAGAGGAACCAGAGGAGGAGGAACCAGAGGAGAAACCAGAGGAGGAGGAACCAGAGGAGGAACCAGAGGAGGAACCAGAGGAACCAGAGGAGGAGGAACCAGAGGAGAAACCAGAGGAGAAACCAGAGGAGGAACCAGAGGAGGAGGAACCAGAGGAGGAACCAGAGGAGAAACCAGAGGAGAACCAGAGGAGGAGGAACCAGAGGAGGAACCAGAGGAGAAACCAGAGGAGAAACCAGAGGAGAAACCAGAGGAGGAACCAGAGGAGGAACCAGAGGAGAAACCAGAGGAGGAACCAGAGGAACCAGAGGAGGAGGAACCAGAGGAGAAACCAGAGGAGAAACCAGAGGAGGAACCAGAGGAGGAAGAACCAGAGGAGGAACCAGAGGAGGAACCAGAGGAGGAACCAGAGGAGAAACCAGAGGAGAAACCAGAGGAGGAGGAACCAGAGGAGAAACCAGAGGAGGAGGAACCAGAGGAGGAACCAGAGGAGGAGGAACCAGAGGAGAAACCAGAGGAGGAGGAACCAGAGGAGGAACCAGAGGAGAAACCAGAGGAGGAGGAACCAGAGGAGTGTGGAGGTGAGGATCCTCCAACACTTTAAAGACAGATGAGCTTCACACCTTAAAGTCTCAACCAGCTGAAAAAAACACAAAATCCTACCAAGTAATTTTCGTATATTTTCTCAATACACTTTAAATAAAACAAAACTAACATAAATAACTTTTGATTAAGAAATAGGAGCTTGTTTTAATAATATTGATCAGATTATTTTTCCACGTTATCAGTGGAACGATCACTTGTAATGATAATAATAGTGGGATTATTCCTTTATAATTCCAATATTAAGGAATTAATTACTTTAAAACAAGCTCCCATTTCTTGTTAGTTAGTTTAGTCTTGTTTCAAGTGAACTAAGATATTTGCTCGGTAAGATTTAGTCTTTAATTATCTCTAGTCAGATTTATTGATTAAAACCAACTGAAGAAAATGGACTGAACTTTTTTTTAAAGTTCACTTCGGCCCCCACTCAACCCAGAGAAAACTCATTGATAAATGGGATTCCTTCCTCTTCTTTCCAGCCTAATAAGAGTTTTTTTGTGGGGGGGGGCTGCAGACGAGTTGCCCCACAGAGAGGCAGTTCAACAAAGGAGGCCTCAGCGTTGCCTCAGCAACCGCAGTAATCCCAGAATACTCATTAAGAGCCTCAGAGCCTCAGAGCCCCACACTGCGCCTCCATGCGCCTCCTCAGCCTCCATGCGCCTCCTCAGCCTGGAAACTTTGGCTGCTTCCTCCCTCCAACCAGACCAACATCAGGATCCAGGCTGATCCTGTACGACTGCAGCAGCACACAGGCTGCAGCAGCACACAGGCTGCAGCAGCACACAGGCTGCAGCAGCACACAGGCTGCAGCAGCACACAGGCTGCAGCAGCAAACAGGCAGCAAAATGCTGCAGGTGCAGGAATTAATGCAGAATAAAAAGGCAACATGGAGGAATCCTCCAGACCACAAGGGGGAGTCTGGAGTCCGTCATTTTAAAGACGCTGCATTTCCTAAATATTGTCAAAGACATGAAGCAAAGGAAGTGGATCGATTCACAATATCCATAATATTGATACCAAATCGATATCGATTTAATACTTTTTTCAGATTTTCTAGTTTGTGGTTTGTTTATTGTTGTCATAGTAACTGTCACGACAGTTTGGGATCCCTGCCAAAATGGCTGCCAGCTACAAAATTACCAGCAGTGATTTCTCCCATGAGAGCTTCCTGTAATATTTGTTACTGCAGGCTCCCCCTAGTGGTCTGGAGGACTTCTGTTTTTGCAGCATTTTCGTTTCCTGCAGTTGCAGCATTTTGTTATTTGCAGTTTTCAGTTGGATTTGTTTTCTTTTTGTCTGTTTTGGAGCGTTTCGCCATTTGCTGAGCGTTGGCGTCTTCTCCTGGTTAAATGTGAAACCTTCTGACTCGCCTTCTCTGCTGATGGCGTTGGAGTCCAGCGCCATGCGCGCCGTCCAGCCGCCGCGCAGCTCGTAGCGGAACGATGCGGTCCGCCTGCTGATGTCCTGATGCGGCGTGGCCTGCAGGAACAGCGCCACCCTCTGGCCCGGCGTGCGGCTGAAGCAGCGGACCCTCGGTGGGGGCGACGCCTCCATCCGGTCCCCCACCAGCAGCTCCAGCAGCCCGTCCCTCTCCAGGTACAGCTGGGCGCCGTGAAACTGCTCCGACGGCTTCACGCAGGCCGTGATGACGCCGCCACCGGGGCCCGCCGCCGCCACGGGGGCCAGGCGGGGCGTGAGGGTGAGGCGCAGCGCCCCCTTGGGGTACAGCCAGTCCAGGGTCCCCTCAGAGCAGTGCAGGGAGATCTGCTCCACGCTGCCCTGCTGCTGCGATAAACCACTGAGGGCAGAAAAAATTAGAAATTAATATTTACGTACATGCAGGGAGCTCCCATGTATTTATATATATATATATAAGATTTTATTTTCCTGATCTGCTGCTTCTGGATCCTGTGGGAAGTGAAAATATTGCAACCCGGTCCAGAACTTGTAAAATAGTCTCCATCTTCCCAGCTGTAAGCAGGAACTACCAACTTTATCATGCACACAAAAAAGGGATAAAAATGTTTTTAAATCCATTTTATGTGGTGTTGACAACATTCCACCGCCCACAAGTCCAGTGACGCCCAGGGCAACTGCCCACATGAAAAACCAGCACAGCACAAGAGCATCAGGACATTTCAAAGTTTGAAGACGATAAAAAACAATAGAAAATGATGCTAAGCAAAATACTAGTTCTGTTTTATCACTGCAAGAAAGTATATTTGTATTGTTCCTAGTGCAGATGTTTTAGTACACTTGAAATAAGAAAACTAACTTAAAGTAACTTTTAAGCAAGATTGAATATAGTTTTAAAAATGACAAAGTTCTACTGGATGAATTTTTGAGTTATATGAGGAAAAACATCTCGTCATAAGTGAACAAATGTCTCAGTGGACCTGGTGCATTTAGTAAAAATCAATATTAAATAACTACTGACTAAATTAAAACAAGCTCCTATATTTTGCCAGAAAGTTACTATTGAGTTAGTTTGTCTTATTTTCAGTGCACTAAGATATTTGCAACAGAAACTAGACAAAAATACTTCGTTTTTTCTTGGGGGTAACTTTAGAAATACATCCATAAATACAAACAGAGCTCCTTAAATTAACCAATCATAACTATTTCATCAATAGTACCACAAAAATATGAAAACATTCTAACTCCATGACTTTGCAGATGGTCAGTGGCCCCCAGGAGCCCACCTCTTTTAACCACCCCTGTTCATTTATACAATAAAACAGTTTTACGGAGTCCAAGATGAGATTAAAGTAACTTTATCAAGAATAAAAAACAGATGCAGGTTCCTGAAAAGTTACAGCAAAGGATAAAAATAATGAAAAGCGCCCCCTGGTGGCTGACATGTGAGAAAACGACTCAATGTTTGTTAAAACGTCACAAAAATCAAGATTTCGGAAAAATAGAAGCGATAAAAATGAAAGCTGCTCGTTTCCCTCCATGAAGTTTGTCTGGATGAATCCTGCAAACATTTTAATCCCGCAGCAACTTCCGGCGTGTTGCATCCAGAACAGCTGATGTCTAGTTTTCACAGGATGCGACGTTTAAAGCAAACTACATCAATACTCGCCTTCCTGTCCAGCTGCACTGATCCTCAGAGTAACTGGAGAAACACGAGTGAAAAATCCCCAACAGCAAAATCCAGGTTGCGTTAATCCGGCGCCCAAATCCAGGCATTTTCAACCAGTTGACGCTCAAATGTTTATTTTTATTCCCAAACCTGCTTTTCTTATCTAAAGCTCCCGATGTGAAGCTGCGGTTGAGTCTCCATGCTGCTGAAGCTGCTGAAGCTGCAGGATGCCGGCCGCCTCTGCGCGTCTCCAGCAGCGCAGCGCAGAACTTATTCAGAAACTTCCCGACCAATCAGAGGCCGAGCTGGGAAACTTTAAACCAGCCGGGGAGGAGAGGGGGGAGAGGGGGGCGGGGCTTGGCGGGACGTCCGGGCCAATCAGGAGCCGCAGCTGAGATGAACCTCCTGCTGGGTGGGACTGTCTGAACAAACTTAAAGGAAACTTCTGTTTAAATAGTAGAATCAATAAAGATGTGAATAGAAAAACATTTTCCACCAAATATTCACATTAATAAATTCTCTCTAAATTCTTTTTAAAAATAAAAGTGGAAATTTCTGGAATTTCCTCAAAGTATCAGGATTCAACACCAGAAAAAAACCAAACATCATTTCAGTTTTATGTTTTCAGGCCTTATGTTTATTTTTGCTGTTATGAATATCCCCCCCCCCTCTTTCTCTCTCTCTTTCTCTCTCTCTCTTTTTCTCTCTCTCTCTCTCTCTCTCTTTCTCTCTCTCTGTTTCTCTCTCTCTGTTTCTCTCTTTCTCTCTTTCTCTCTCTCTCTCTCTTTCTCTCTCTCTTTCTCTTTCTCTCTCTCTCTTTTTTCTCTCTCTCTCTCTCTCATTTAAACTTCACCTGATTTATTTTTGTTTTTAAAATTTGAAGTTTTAGCTTTGAAACTTGGACTTCAGCACATCAGTCATATTGATGTGATCTGATTCAGTTCAGATCACATCAATAACCTGATTCTCAGACGTTAGACGACGATGATGATGATGACCTCCCCCTCCTCCCACTGGTTTGCCCTTTGACCTCTCCCCTGCTGGGCTTGTCTTTCATGTTGTGGTATTTATAACCAAATCAGCGGCTGATCCAGCGGCTTTTCCCCAAACATGTCTGAGTGACGAATGTCCAGTTATGATGGGCTGCAGTTCGGGACAAAGGCGCATCCCAGGAATCCAGCTGTGCTGCAGTGTGCAGCAGGATGAAGTTTGAAGTTTAAAGCCACAGGCTGCAGGACGGGGATCCACATGCGCTCTGGAGTTCATCATGTGCATCGGTGTGAATGCTTTCATAAAAATGTCTCTTAAAACCAACGCAGACTGGGTCAGAACCACAGCTTCACGTTTCACACCAAAAGATGTTCAGCTGTTTGAATCCAACTCCACTTTAACAGAAAGTCTGGTTCATCAGGGGAGGTGTGAACGCTAACCGAACTCTGGTCCGGTTTGAATGCATATGAGAACGACAAGCGGACCGGAAACCGCTTCAAAAGCAGGAAGTGGACTACAGCGCAGGGCATTCTGGGTAAATCCAACCAAAGCTAACATGCTAGCCTAGTGCTAGCAGGAGAAATGGCTCCAGAAGACAAAAGGAAAATCCTTTTACTATCTGACGCTGCTCCATTCATATTGTGTGAAGGAGGAAGTTGCAGCCGTTTTCATCAGTGGTTCTTGGTGCAGCGCCCCCACAGGCGGAGAGGGGAACACGTTGCTCAAGGGGTTTGATTCAGTCGTTCTTGAATCTGTTCGTTCCACTGACAGATTATTTTCATGTAATACATGAAAAAAAAATCTTTTGATGTAGTACTTTTTTAAAACATTTGGAAATTACTAAGTTAAATTCCTCTGTCTTGCTGAATAGTTGCTATTAAACTAGTTTTGTCTTTTTTCACTAAGATACGTGCAACAGAAACAAGACTAAACATTCCTGGTAAGTTTAATAATTACTGTACATGTTATTCATGTAAATGGCAGCAGAACGCATTAAGGTTTGTTGTTGTACTGGGGCGAAATGTGAAAAGGTCCAGAACTGATTTTGGGTTTTCAGACACAGAAATTCTGGATCCCAGTCGGAGGTTCGCGTGAACCTGTTTGTTTCCAGTTCTGGGTCCAGAACAATGCCACCTTTGACTGCAGTGAAACTCAGCCTGCTTGTCCCTCCATCCTCGGACCAGTGAACCAGATTCCCGCTGACGTTCGGCTCCCAGTGTTCCCACCACTGCGCCAATGGGAGCGTCTTCAAACAGAGCCTCTGTGCGCATGCGACGGTTTCCGTGGGACATGCAAACACAGAGGATGGACTGTTTGGTCGTGTTTACAGAACCTCAACATTCCCCTATTATTGACCTTTTCTCAATGTCACACAACCAAAGACTCTGTTTCTGAACTTTCCTGTCAGCAAATGATTCTGATTGATTCATGACTTTTACACGGTGCATGCAGGCCAGGCTGGAGTCGAATATCCAGAGAAACCTCAGCACAGCAGCGACAAGCAGCCGGAAATGACCTGATGGAAAAACCTGCGCTGAGGGATGAAGACGTTCCCATAGTTCCTGCTAATCTGGTGGATCTGGAATCACTGCTGTCTGTTTACAATCATCTGTCTGCTTATGAATGAAACTTTTCACCTTGCAGCAGTGCTTTGATTTTGCTTGCTAGCTAAATATTTAGCTTCAAAAAATTAACAGCAATATTTTGGATATTTAGCTTGTTTGGAGATTCATTTGGCAAAGCCATATTTTCTTTTTTTTGTTAATTTATTAAGATCACAGTTTCAAACTAAATATTTAGCTAAGAAGCTAAATATTTATTTAGAATTTAGCTTATAATTAAAATATTTAGTTTGAATCTAAATTATTCTAAAGCTAAGTAATAAGCTAACTAACTAAATATTTATTTTGAACTTAAATATCAAGCTTCATAATAAGTTAGCTTGCTAACTTATTATTTTGTTTGAATCTAAATATTTATTTTGAAGGGAAATACTTAGCTTGCATGATAAATACTTAGAGACTTAATATTTAGTTTACCATCTAAATATTTAACCTGATGCTTAATATTTAGTTTTAGTCTAAATTCAAACTTAATATTTGCTAAATGTTTTGTTTCAATGTAATTATTTAGCTTACTAGCTAAATTCCTGCTTTCTTAAGCATGAAACTAAATAATTAGTTTAATACTTAAATACTAACATTTAGCTTTAAACTAGTTAGCTTGCTAAGTATTTAGCAAGTTAACTTGCTAAATACTTAGCTAAATAAACAGCTAGCTAAATAGCTATTTAGCTAAATTGCTAGCTAGATAGCTATTTAGCAAGTTAGTGACACATTTAGCTTAAATGTTTAGCTATAAACTCAATATTTAGCTCGATATTTAGCTTCACACGTTGCTTGCTAGCTAAATACTTAGCGTCATGCTAAATATCCAGAGGCTAGGGTTTAAGATCATGACACATGTTCATATCAGCAGCTGTAATATTTTATCTGGACCATTTCGATCTTTTCCAAACTCCTTTTGTTCCAGTTTTTCTCCAGCATCAGGTCTAGTTTTCCAGGACTCGTCCTGGCAGCTGCTGATTCAGTCGGCGGACATGTTTCCGCCTCTCCTGCAGGTGAAGCTCGAGGCTGTGAGAACTAAAGTTCACCATGTTTCTGCCCCGCATGTGAAAACCGACACCTGCGCTCCCATTACGCTGCCTCAGGACGGCCGTGTTGTGTTTGTCTGCGTAACAGTAAATTTCTCATCTCCGTCGTGTTTGTGTGCGACTGAAGCCCAGTGGGAAGCGGAGGCCTAAACAAAGCAAGGGAGAAAATGGCGGACACAGCTGGAGCTGCGCAGCGACACCCTGAGAAAAGCTCTCAGGGATCACTGCACGGCCCCTTCAAGTGTCTCCGCTGGGATGCAATAACTTTTAAAGAGGTTTGTGTTCATTTCACACAAAACATCTCCAGTGTTTTATGTGAGAAAGTTTCTGCAACTAGTGCAGAAACACAAATTTACCGAGTCATTTTGCTATCTCAGTACAAAATAAGACAACTTTAAAATAACTTTTTAGCAAGTGTTTTTTGTAATGGAACTAAATATTGACTTAAAACAAGTTTCTGATTCTTCATGAAAAGCTGCAGTTATTTCAGATACTATAAACTTGACTAAAATACTTGGTGATATTTCTTACTGATTAAAAAACAGATTAGACAGTAATGGGTTGTGTAATGTGTGCACAACCTGTTACACATAGGAGCAACTAAATAACTTACTCATGTGCAAAGAAGGAAAAGCAGAGATACTAAAGAAATATTTAGTTTCTTTTTCAGTGATTCTACTGCAGAATTACTTATAGATGTAAGAAAACTAAAGAAATATTTAGCAAATGTCCCTACAAATTTAGATTAGAGATAAAAACTGAACACACTGCAAAAACACAAAATCTTACCAAATATTTTTTGTTGCGTTATAGAGCAAATATTTTAGTACACTTAAAATAGAGAAACTTTTCAGCAACATGCAGGATTTAAGTAAATAATTCCTTAATATCGATTTGAAAAAGGCTCGTTTCATTAGCAGAGTATTCCACTAACAACTAAATATGTTTTTAAGTGTGTTGAGCTAGGACTTTTAAAATCAACATGTAGGAATTATTTATTTAAATCAGGCTCCTATATCTTGCTGAAAAGTTATTTGTAAGTTAGTTTAGTCTAAATAGTTGGTAAGATTTTGTGTTTTTGCAGTGTATGCATCAGCATTTCCCTGACTCTTTGTTACACATTTCCATTTAAAAAGATTCATCATGTGTGTTTTCTGACAGCCTTTATGTGGTCAGCAACACCAAATATAAACTAATTATGGCAGCTGGGGTCAGAGGTCACAGCTGGGTGCCTTTAGGAGTTCATTAGTGAAATGGAGGGCAGAGGCAGCAACTTCCTCTGATTTCACTTATTTTGTCACTTTGGTTTGTTTCCCCTTGACTTTCATACATTTATTCAAAATATGTTTCAACAAAAAGAATATTGATGAAAAAACTTTCTTACTCAGGTTTTACACTAATATATTCATTTAATTATAGTTTTTGCAGCCATTTTGTGCAAATGCTTATTTTGAAGGACATTCAGTTTCATCAGTTAATCTTGTTTTTTCCATAGAAAATGCTTCCTGGCTCTGATTGGCTGTGGCTTTTCTTCACTGTATACCATAGAAAACAACTGGGTCATTTTTTCCCCGTCTCAAACAGC